ATGGAAGAGGAGTGTTTCACAACAATGTGCACCCACAGGTCAGGGAAAATGTAGCTTTGCTCCCGTTTCTAGGAGAGAAATGAGAAACGTACTTTGACACCTACGACAACATATATGATTTTTTCATTATTACATGATATGTGAAATCTTCTAAAACACCATATTTGACTGGAGTTTTTTTATACTCTCACTTTAACAAAACATATTATTTTCATCACCTCAGCTATCGTTTCGTCATTTTCTCCTACCAAACATCCATTGAATACTTAAACAACAATTTCTCAAATGCAAAACAGGCAAAACTGCTTAAAACTCCACAAAGTACTTCTTACGCATATTTCACAGCAAATCCTTGCTTTCCATCTCTCCGTGTTCTCTGCTTCTTCTCCTCTAACCCCTACTTTCTGCATGTCCTCCCTCACTGCATCCATACATCTCCTCTTTGGCCTTCCTCTCTTTCTCCTACCTCCATCTCTAACATTCTTCTACCAATGTGTCCACTGTCCCTCCTCTGCACATGTCCAAACCATCTCAATCTGCCTTCTCTAGCTTTTTCTCCAAACCTTCCTGTCTGTGTTGTCCCTCTTCTTTCTAGTGCAAACCTCCACCTCTCTGAGTTCTCTTCCAGCTGCTACCTACTCTCACTACAGATCACAATGTCATCTGCAAACAACATAATCTATGGGGACTCCTGTCTGACCTCATCTGTCAATCTGTCCATCATTAAAGCAAACAATAAGGGGCTCAGGGCCGATCCTTGATATAGTCCCACCTCCACCTAGAGGTCTATGCTATCCTCATACATATGTCCTGCAGCAAACTAACATTCTTCTCTGCCACTCCTGAAAAAAATACACAACGTACAGTAGCTCCTTCTGACCTTCTCTGTACTTCTCCATCAGCATCCTCAAGGCAAATATTGTATCTGTGGTACTCTTCCTAGGCATGAAACCATACTGTTGTTCACAAATCTCCACTTCCTGCCTCAACCTAGCTTCAACTACTCTTTCCTAAATCTTCATTCTATGACTCATCAACTTTATCACTCTGTACTTGTTACAACTCTGTGCATCACCCTTCTTATGAATTAACACCACAACACTTTTCCTCCACTCATCAGCCATCTTATCAGTCTCTAAAATTCTGTTAAACAACCCAGTCAG